TTTTAAGTTGAGTGATGGACACCTATTTTTTTATATGTTATTCTCTCTACAATCAAAACTACCAGGAAAAACCACAGGGTGATTATTTGCTCTCCAAGTATCCTAAGACCTTTGGCCAAAAGCAATCAGATTTTGACCTGACCACTCTAGAAATTCAATCAGTGACTTTCTTGTAAATTGAGCCCTTGTATACTTTCCAAGGATGATTGTCTCTAAATTAACAAATGAATTCTGCTGTTTTGTGAGGCATTTAAATCAAAATTCCAGATAACAAGCTTAAGTCTGCCTCCTGGGAAGGCACTTTACATTTCCTACACAAGGCAGAGATGACACTTAGCTCTTGGGGAAGCATTTCTGGCTTGATGTTACAGCCTGATTGGCTTCCACTCTCTAACACCTCTCAGTGTGTCCAAGCAGGCTTCCAGAAAGAGCCTCCAAGGTTTATTCAACTTGAGCAGGGTGTGGGGCCAACGTACTTGACAAATGCATTACAGTGAAGGCCTTGCCATTTTCCTGATACAGGCCACCTCCCCTTACTTTGGGATCTCCTCCTCCCCTGGCTCTTTGTCTTCTCATCATTATTCTCTATTTTGGAGACTCATAATCCACATCCTTCTTTCAGATGTATTTTGCCCTTGAAATAGTCATATTGGCATTGTTTATGTGTCCTACTTGACTGTGTTACATAAAAGCATCCCAGGAGATTCTTGGTCATGGACTGCTAGGAAAAACCCACAGTTATAGACCCCTTTCTGTATTGCATCTAGAAATACTATATCCTATAAAATAAGAAGAAACCTAAAATGTTTTCAAAATAGACAAAAGTTCCCATCCATTCTGTGCCTCAGATTGCCAGAAAGAAAGAGCTTGAAGTAGACATAGCCAGTTATTCCAGAGCTAGGGAGAAAACAGGTACAATAATTTCAAATTTACTGCCACCAGGAAAGCAGTCGCTGTGTTACTTTCTTTTTAATTAACACAATTTTGTTCTGTATAATAATTTTTCATACTTTTCATAAGCAGTTGTCAGATCAGAATGCATGTTATCTGATTCTGTTATAAAAATTATTACCATAATATCTTTCATGGGTTCTCATTTCCTAAGCTTTCATTTTATTTTTTCTCTTTAAGCTAGATGATGAGTTCTCTTATTGTATTGTCTACTTACACCAATAGCTGGTTGTCCACTGTACTCTAGGAAGTTTCTCTGTTGACAAGTCCCTGCTGGCACTTCTTACTGAGCAGGATCTACGCAAAGTATCTCTGGGGAGAAGCTGAAGTTAATAATTCCTAAAATTGGCATTTTAAGTTTTCTAGTTGTTCTCTCTCTGACCTTCCTAACATTCCTTTGCTTTGTTCTCTTTATGTTCTCACTAGTTTTTTTTTGGTACATTTCAAATAGATATTCGTCAAATACATAACCCAAGACCCAGGTCCCTGCACTTCTTCAGGGTGCTCAAAAACCAGAAGAGAATGTAGAGAACTGCCTGGGGCCTTAGGATCTTGAGAGCTAGGGTGGACACGAAGTCAGAAAGGAATCTGGACCATAAGAACAGCCAAAGTTTTTCTCAGCTGTTACCTTTCTGCCTTGCTTTCCAATACTGACTATATAAATAAATTGCGATTGCTCAGTCAGCTTCCAGTCTCTCTACATTCTAATTCTTTGCAACCTTTCTCTCACTGCCACATCTACCTTTTTTCCATGCATCTGATGGGGAAAAAAATAGTCTAAGCTCTTCTAATAATAGATAGTCATAGAAGATTGCATAGCTTCAGTTCACTCAAATTGGGATAGTAGTCCTTGTGCTGTCCCTCTCCCAGGAACCACGGACACGGTATTGTTAATACTGCCGAGAAGCCATGTATTGTGTGACCAGCAAACTCCATTTGGCTTTCATTCATAATGCCTGTAAAATTCCCAGCGCAACCACTTTCCAACTTATCTCTTGTACTCTGAATTACATTTCTTTATATCTCAAAATTTCGCCTTAAAAACATCTACCACTGTTCAGTTTTCATCTCTGTCATACTTCCTTATTCTCCTGAATGGAGAAGTCACTAAAACTAGTCTGAATCACCAGGCTGGCTACTCAACAGTGTCTCCTGAGGAAAGATATTTTATCTGCAGAGTTTGCTACTAATGTTTCATAATATTTCAACAAACACATACAGAGGACCTCAGTCACCTGTATGGCTCTGTGCTAAGTGCTGGAGCTACAGAGATGTGCCTGACATGTTTTCTGCCTTTGAAGAACTTTCAGTCAAGTGGAGGGACACAGTCATTATTTTCCCTCAAATTCAATTAGTTCCATCTCATTCATTCTTGCACTTAACACATAGTTGGGAGTTTACCATGTACAGAGCATTGAGTTAGGCACTGATGGTACTGAGATGAACAAAACAGACATGGGACTTTCTGTCAAGCTAAGGATGTGTGTCTTTAAGAGCCAGTGTTCGACCAAAGAATGCAATGGGTGCAAAAGATTGGGGGTGATGGTGTATTAATGCTCAAACAACGTTCCCCTTTAGGAACTAAAGACTGCCTCTATTTCCTTAGGAAAGTGTTTTGGACCAAAACTCCCTTTTTGGATGGAAATAAACCAAGAGCCCAGCAGGCCTGAATTTTCATCTACTTTTCCAAGTAGTTCGTGATCTCAGGGGAGTCTGGGTTCTCATTGCAACTCGTCGCTAAAGTCAGAGGACTGCCTAATGCTTTACCCAAAGTAACCTCTGACCCTGGGATCGATTGCCACAGTCTACTAAGTAGTATAGGAGAAGAAATTATTTTAAAACACCAGAAATGTGTTCTCAGCCAGAGTGATCCTAGTTTTCAGACTTGTGACAGAATGGAAGTACAGTTAAAGAGAATGCAACATTATTAGACCATAGTCTGCCTTCCCCATCAGAAGAGACATTCTTTTGATAAACGCGCAAGCAAGAAAACAAGCAAGCAAGTGAACATTAAATCAAAAGAGATAGAATGTCCCAATTGTTAAAAGTATCTCCAGAGCCTGTGTACACTCTTACATGCCTGCTTGGGTGGGGAAGCAGCAGACCAGGGAGCTGGTTGGGGCAGGGGTGTGTGCATTTGTTGTACCCCTGGGTTTAGGTATCTGCTCACATGTGACTATAGAATGCCTGGGATAGTGTGTGAATTGTTTATAGTCTCTGTGTATTTGTGTGTAACATATTTGTCTGAATGTATTTGTAAATGTTAGTGCATGGATGAGGATGAATGAGTGATTGTATGTGCATGTGTAAAAAGAGTTGCTTCAGTTATAAGTTGCTTCTTATAAAAATCTTTATCCATCATTAATTCCTAGAAATACCAAAAGAGAGCTGCATATCCTTGGTGAATCTGGTTATCTCCAATGGCCTGTGAATTCTTGGAATGTAAGACTTCCTAGAGTCCTTTAATGCAGAGTTTGGCTCCTAAGGAGTACTTGTTGAGTGTCCAACTGGCAACAATTTTAATGCATGCGTGAATCGGAAGTTGAGCACTTCCAGTCAATAGGTTGAGAAAGGACAATCTAGACATACCCACTTTCTTGTTGCCATTAAGAGAGGGCCTTCTCCTCCATTCTTCATACTTCAAAGCTGTCCCTTACTAAGCTCTCCTTATGTCAAGTGTCCTGCTAAGTGCCAGAGAAGCCATTAAGACTTGGTATTTGCCTACAAGGAGTTCACAGGAAATATTATACCCTTTTCTTATTCTTCACTTGAAAGAAAAAACTCAGGTCTCTCCTTTCCCCTTGCCTGCCCTCTCAAAAACTCACATATTGATGACTTACTCTCCTGCAAACTAGCTAGCTTTTCCAGCTGATTTCTAGAACTCACCGTATAAAATCAACATACCTACATCAACTCTCAGCTTCCAGTCTTTTCCCCTTTGCAATCCACCATGCACAGACCACCAGATTAATCATTGTAAAACAACACTCATATATTTTCATTGTCTTACTCAAATCCACTCAACAGCTCTGCATTATCTATAGTAAAAACTCTATCACTTCCCTATACAACTGTTTGCATTCTTCTGACAGGTAGAAAGAAGCTTTGCCCCCTGCCAAGTAGTGGTCCCACTGAAAATAGACATAAAGAATAAGTAGTGAACATGGGCACTTTATATTCTTTGAACACATTTTCCCTGATATTAAGATGTTTATGTATAACACAAAGCCAGCTATTTAATAAAACAAGCTGAGCATCTAATAACTGCCAGGCATAGAGAGGAGATAATAGCTTTTTGGCTTCTCTAAATGATAGTTGCTCAGTCAAGTATCAGACATTCAGTAGGGATTGATAGGTGATCTATTGGGGGAAGACTTCTGCTTCAACTCTCCACTACATTCTTTGCTTTGGCAATGAGGGAGAATGGCAGGTGAACAGATAGTCCTTGCAGATGGCTTGTGAGCCACCCCCTTGCTAGCTTGCTGTGCTCTGCCTTATTTACAGAGTCTGCACTGAAACTCTCCCCCGTCTACATCTGTAGACAAATTAGTTTTCAGAAGTGGGTTATACACTTTCTCCAAACGATTTGTGTCACTCTTCAGTTCGTGCCCTGGTGGCTGGAGCCCAGTTGCAAAGAACAGACTTCCTGGATGCCACCACCAGCCGTTTTGACTGAGAATCCCCACCTCAATGCTCTCCTCACATGATCTCTCTATATGAATATATGTGTGGCGCTGGCAAAGTGTGAAGCAAAAAAGTCAATTAAAGTAGTTTAATTGAGGCTAGAGAGCCAAATCGAGTTTGGAAAGATGTGTCATAAAAGGAATAAAGGGGCATTCCTGATGGGAGTATATGCTTTATATGTGAGTAGGTGAGGAGAGCAGAGAAAAGATGAATTTGACTAAATGCAGGATGGTGAGAATAGGGAATCCATGTGAGATAAACTATCTCCTTAGAATATAGCTACAATGCTGAAGGAAAGCCCCAATTTATTTTCTTTGGTCTGTTGCATTATCTTTCACTTTTGCCTTTGCAAGAAGTATTCTTACCATGTCAGTGTCTGACACAGGGCCAAAACTGGTCACGTAGATGTCAGTCTTCACTTCAGTCACGGCATCTGAGCAAAGAAAAAAAAGGTAGAAAAGCAGAATATCAGAGAGAGTCCAGTGCAGTACTCTGAATGACAGGCAACTTACGACTTCTAAGAAAAGAAAATCCCTCAAAAACCTTTCACCTGCGTTATTTCTTCACAGAGAACATGCTGAGTACAGGTTCAAAGTCTATTCCTTTAGATATCATTGAGAATGACAGCATAATTCCAAAACAGCAAAGCTTAGAGAGGTCTCTAAGAGATCCCTGACATTCACAAGAGCTGGGTTCTCACACTGGGCTTACAGTTACTTCTAATAGTTTACAGATGTTGCAGTATCCAACTCTCTTCCACTTCTAGGAGCATAGGATGATTGCACTCCCACTCTCCTGTTCACTTCAAGTAAAGAGGGGTAACGTGACTGGTTCGGGTTGTGGGAGAAACTGATATGTGTTGCTTTGTGTCTGGAACAATTCATTTCTAATGAAGGACCCTCTGTTAAAAGTATGGAATGGTGAGCTAGCACATGGAGGATAACTGCCCTGAAGAGTTGCCTGAATTCACAGTAGACATTGCGTGAATGAGAAATAAACTTTGCTAAGTGACTAAGACCTGGAGATAACTGATATCACTTGATACACTCTCGTTGCATTTATTTTCCCTCATTGCAACCATCTGTTGACTTATCTGCCTTCTTACCTAACTCAAGAGCTTCAGAAGGGTTTTTACTCAGATGGTGCTCACTAAACATTTTTTTGTGTGTGAATGGATGAATCTTACCACATATTTGCCAGATTGGAACATGATATGGAATTAATCTGTTTAGGCTGCTATAACAAAATGCCTTAGAGTGGATAATTTATTTTAAAAACATACATTCGTCACTCACAGTTGTGGAGATTGGGAAGTCCAAGATCAAGATGCCAGCAGATTCAGCGTCTGATGAGGGCCCATTTTCCACAGATGGTTCCGTCTGTGTCCTCACATGACAGAAGGATCTAGGAAGCTTGCTCAAGCCTCTTTTATAAGGGCACTAATCCTACTCATGAGGTTGTAACCTTCATGATCTAATTATCTCCCCAAGACCCCATCTTCTAATACCATCGCCTTGAGGGTGATTATTTCAACAAAGGAATTTTGGGTAGATGCAAACATTCAGACCACAGAAGATACCCTGAGAAGTGAAGTTATTCCACTACTGAGTTTCCTTTTTCTTGCCTCTGGCAACCCTGTGTGCTTTGTTGCAATCCAATTACCCTTCCCACTCCACCACACCTCAAACAGAGCCCAAGCCAAGGCAGCCTACTCCAGCCCAACAAAGCCCATCCCAGCTTACCAAATTCATCCTTACACTAAATTAACCAAGTCCCACTCCAGCCCAGAATACCTGACCCCAGCGGAGCATGCCAGTAACACAGCTAAGAGCAGGAAAACCCACACAAGACCTAATGTATGTATATTATGGGGTTGGTTACTGCAGTCTATAGTACTATTTCTTTTCTCTCAAGGAGAGGTAAGGAACACATCTACTCCATCTGGACCATATTAGCTTACTCATCCAGTCCTGGGTTCTGGCCCAAATATACTTTAGCTCTTGTTAATTTCCCACTTTCCAGAACCATCCTTTAGACCTAATATACTGTGCCCCTACTCAGGCACTAATGTGTTCACTATACTCAAGGCCACTGCACTCATCCAGAAACATTCCATTTCAGAAGAGATGATGAGTATCATCTAATAATAATCAACACTATAATCAATTCACCGAGAGACACAATTTACTCCCAAGCTTAATCAGCAAATAGCATGTCTCTAAAACTAAAGCTGTGTTTTAAATAGCTGGGTTCTCATCTAGAGCACAGGCTTCCCTCAGAGTTATTTCTGTACTTGAAGGAGAAGACACAAAACTTCAGAACCCAGAATGTGCTTTCTAAAGGCTTGTTCCTTCACACACATTGCCAGGTTCATTGGCTGGAGAAGCAAGTGCTCATATACTTACAGTGTGGTATAATGACCTCTAATTGTCCTACCACCAAGTACATAAAACAAATTAAATCCGTCAATGGGTGGGACCACAATTATATTTGAATCCAGTATTCCAGTCTTGACATTCCAGATACAGAACAACTTTCTACATCAACATAATTATAAAATTGTAAGACAGCCATACAGACTTCCAACATCTACAGAAAGGGAGAAGAGAGACAGTAAAGAAAGCCTACAAAATTGATGGGCATAATGGGACAGAAGAGTTCATAAGTAGGATGGCTTAATGGCAATTACAATTGCAAAGTGACCAAAGAAGGTCTTCCATCCACAATGCCTCTTCCTCCTGCTCCCCAGCCTAGTCCAGTTTCTAATGCCACTAGTGGTAAAGTTAAGTGACAAGAGGCTGCTTTAGTTCCAAGAGGAGAATGGAGTCACTGTAGGAAATGGCTATAGCAAAGAGCCTTGGGCTGGAAGGAAAGGCTTGGGTTCTGGATCTCTGCTCCTGATTTGCTGAATGGATTACATAATGGTTTCCTTTAGGCCGATCCCTTGCCTATGTATAATGAGGGTTTTGGATCAGTCAAATTCTTAATGTTCTCTCTTCTCTAACTAGTATCTCTGACTGTAGGACCAAGCAAGAAGCATCTGACTAAAGTTTCTCAATAGTAACAAGAGATAATGCTTTCTCTGCTGGCTGAGGAAGGTAGGAGGGTTTATGCAAATCTGGTGGTGACTCTTCTCTCTAACTTGTTCACTTTCTTTGTAAAGGCAGTCATTGATTGCCAATAAAGAAATAGTGTGGGGAAGTTTGGTCTAGTAGCTGGTTTGGAAAGAGTCTGGCAGGTAAGAAATTAGACCAGAGGAAGTGGTATAAAACAAATGGAAGGGGGAAAGAAGGGAAGAGGAGAGAGATCATTAGAAGAGGATAGAGTACCATATGTTCTCACTCATAAGTGGAACTTGAACAATTATAATACTATAAGAAAGCGTTTGGCAGTAATGGGAAACTGTCAGGGGAGAGGGGGTGGGATTGGCAGTTGAGGGAGACTGGTAGGGGAGAGAGGGGCATACCTCATCAACAAGGGTACCTGCATAATCAATGTTTGCATACCTAACCCTGAATCATACCCCACATCTTCATAATAAAAATAATAATAATATTAAAAGAAAAAAGAAGTGGATTGGAGGAAAAAGCAGGAGAGAATGAATGGGAAGAAAACAAAGAGTCTAGACAGAAATAGAAAGGGAATGAGAAGAGGAAATAAACCTAATTACCTAGAGAGCTAGAGAGCAAGAGATGGCAAAAGTGAGACAGAAAGGGAAACCAAGAGAGACAAATGCAAGAGATAAAAAGAGACAATGACAATGCTCTTTTCACCAGAGGAGCCAGAAATCCCTCATATAATCAGGTGTGGAAAAGGGATTGTTACTTGGATCCTGGTAGCATGAGAGGACAGACTCTGAATTTATGGTACTATCCTTAGGCCTCTGGCCCTCTACTCCAAAGACAGGGGAAAATAAGGATATTTGACATGACTTCAGCATTCTACATAGGGACCCGTATTTGGGGATGACTAGCCCTATTTTCTGACTAGGAAATCCAGCTGCCCTAGGGCAAATACCTGACAACACATAGAAAAGAACCTTGCAGAAGTATGGCAAAATGCAGCCATAAAAAAGAATGAGATCATGTCTTTTTCAGCAATATGGATGGAGCTTAAGGTCATTCTCCTAAGTGAACTAACTCAGAAGCAGAAAACCAAATACCATATGTTCTCATTTATATGTGGGAGCTAAGCAGTGGGTACTCATTGCTATAAACATGAAAATAATAGACACTGGGGACATCAAAGTAAGGGGAAATTAGAAAGAGGGGCAAGTGTCTACAAGCTACCTATCAGATACAATGTTCACTATTCAGGAAATGGGGACACCAGAAGTCCAATCCCCCGCCAGTATGTAATATGCCCATGTAACAAGCACACACTTGTACGCCTTAAAATCTAAAATTTAAAAAAAGAATTACAGTACAGTGCTTAAAAGCATGACTAGCTCGGGTTTGGATTTAGGCTCTGCCACGACCCTTTGTGTGCCTTTTTATCTGTTTCTTCAACTGTAAAATTAGAATAATGATAGCACCTACCTTAGAATTTTCTGAGGATTTAAGGAAATGATATTTAGGCTAGTAGTTAGAATGGATTCAGTTTTCAGTATGTGTTACAGCTGCTGCTTAATATTGTTTCAGAGGCTAGACCACATGAGTCACTCATAAGGCCAGGTGGGCAGAACTCAGAGAAGTTTAAGGTCCTGAGTTCAAGACGCAGAAGACAGTATCCACCCACCACTTCAGTTCCTCTTTGAGAAGGAATGATTCAGAGTTTGCTGTTTCATTTAACTAAATGCAAAGATCAGTGAATTAAGCTGAAACTGGTGAGGGCCACAGTCCACAGAGTCTAGCCCCTGTTCACAACCTTCCTAATAGAAACAAATGTAAAATATCAATTAATGAGAGATAAGAGGGGCTTTTTCCTCTTTTTAACAGTTGTTTACAGATACATCTTGGTTCTTTCTTCATTTCCTTTAGGGATTTAATTCCCTCCCAGTGTTATCCTTTGAAACAAAAGGTGCATAGAATTATCTTTTCCTTTTGCAAATGTACTGTAGTATTGGAAGTGTGTGAACAGTTTTGAGTGTTCTTAATGCACTCCTATTGGTGGGGAACTCATTCGCCAGGCCTTACATTATTTTCCTTGCTGCTGATCTGAAAGAGTAAAGATAAGCCAATCAGCAAGTTATCACTGTCTTTATGTTTGTGTTGCCCATAACAAACTGTATTTTGGAGTTTAACTTCCAATACATGTCCTAGAAACCTTGAAGTCTCTCCACTGAGCAGAAACCTGTTTCAGTCTGTTCCCCAACTCTAGTTGCTCCACCCAAGCACACACATACACATTGGTCTCCTCATAGTATTCCTTGATCTCCCCTGACCCCTGCAATACAGCTAACAACAAATAAACTCTCCAGACCCATGAAA